TTTGCTTAGTAACTTGGATATGATGTTGTTTGATAAGTTTGATTTTTCTAATTCTTCATCACAGGTGAATATCTTGGTTCTCAGTGAGGTTACTACCAAATCTGTCTCTATGAAACTGCGGCGCAACACAGTCCTGAGAAGCCGAAGGCGTCAACAGCGAGAACATGTGAAGGACTCTGAGAGCATCTGTGTGGTGTTGAGTGACACTGACTCTAGCCAGTCAGAGAGTGTGGAGGAAATAAAAGACCATGTGTCTGTTATTCATGATATGAAGCGGCCAGTAAGGAAGAGTAGAGCTGGTGCATCATGTCGAGCGAGAAAAGAAGACGAGAGACCGCTTTCTCCTGTGGAACCACAACATGGAGCGGTTCAGAAGATATCCCTGGCTCCAGATGCAATGGCTGAGGACACTCTAGAGAAACTCAGGTTGAGGGCTAATACTTCTGAGACTGAGGTTGAGTCTCGGGTAGAGCTTGAGTCTGTTTTGGACGAATCCAGTACCAATCTCACAGTGGAATCGGGTCCCAGCTCGCCCTCTTGTCCTGTTGATACTGTAAGATGCAGAGAATGCCAGAGACTTTTCGCCAAGATGAGAAAACAGCCGACCCCAAAACAGAAAAGCAGAGATACAAGTAAACATTTCAGATGTGCTGTTTATAGAAATGAGACTCTTAAGAGATTAATATGTAATATAAAGCACCTGTTATCATGTTACCAAAAATGTTTTTTTTCTTTGTATATTAGATCCAGCATCTTTATCTTGTGATGTGTGGGTTCTGCTTAAGAAGTGGCACCCTCAAAGACTCCGCCATCGGGAGAAGGGGTATGTTATGTTCTGCACTGATATCACACTGATATTATGAAGGCTTTCTGTAGCGCTATGTTTATTTTAGAAAGCCTAGTTATGGTTTGTCCAGAACAATGAGTACAAGCTTGTGAAGTTTACATCTTAAAGACTCAACAAGCAGAAAGTGAACGACTATTTACAGCAGGGTTCCTCAATTAGTTTTCGCCGAGGGCCGAATTC